TCTTGTGCCTTGATTTATGTTATGTTTGTAAAGATTTAATTTATTTTTGTTTTAGTTAAAGGGGTATCGTTTAAAATACATGAATTTGCAGATTATTATTTTTGATTGATTACGTTCATGTTCTTATTTTAAAAATAAATCAGACGTTACTCAACAGTTACTCAGTACTTGAGTAGTTTTTTCACCAAATACTCTTTTACTCTTACTCAAGTAATTATTTGGATGACTACTTTTTACTTTTACTTGAGTAATATTGTTCTAAAGTATCAGTACTCTTACTTGAGTACAATATTTGGCTACTCTACCCACCTCTGCTTTCGGTCAATCGGAGAGACTTATTTTCATAGTGAAAAGAATATTTATTAGCATGTGCACTTAAGAATGAAAAATGTGAAAAGTCTTTGGCGATTAGACCCCTTAGAACCCCCCAGGTCCAGATGCTGGTGGTGGTAGAGGTGGTGAAGATGAAATGAGGATGTGGAGAAGATGGAGAAGTGCTGATGATCTGAATGAGGAAAGGAATGAGTCTTTGTTGAGCTCATCCTGGACTCTGGACATGATGGGTGGAACTGAACGGGTGGAGGAGGATGGGACAATTCTGCCTAAAATGATAGCTGACAGCAGCAGAGGAAAGAGCAGATTTATAATTTGGCAGTGGCATCCTGATTGGCTGATGGAGATAGCAGCGAAGTTTGATTGGATAACTCGGGGAGTGAACACCCATAGTCAGCTGATTAGAGGAAGCAGTGGGAGTGGGAGGGAGAGAATTGTGAATGGACCAACAGACTTGTGGTGTCCTCACAGTCATCATCAGATTAAAGTTTAGTATTGAAACAGGATGTGTGAAGGTTTGATATGTTGCAGAATAGCCAGTGCACCCTTTGAATGCACAGCCTGCATCTTTGGTTCTCTGTAACATGTATCCATAAATGTGTTTGTGTTCTTGCTTCCCTCCCACTAGTTCCTGATCCCAATCCAAGTAAGTCCTGGATTGATTTTTACTTTGCATGTTTCCTCAACACTGCATGGACTTTATGGGAAGTCTTTTTTAAGCCTTTAACAAATCTCACTGCTGCCTTTCAGTTCCTACAAACAAATCCGACATGGACGTCACAGAGAATGCAGAGAGTCCAGTGTTTGTGGTACGTCTGCCTGTCATCATTCAGTGCAAATATGTAATGAGTATCAGTGATGTTGATGAGTGTAACTGCAAACCTGTCTTTGTTTGAACAGGTGTCTGTGGCTGTGGGTCTTGCTGTGTTTGCCTGCACTTTTCTCCTCATCATGGTTTTGGTTATTAACAAGTGTGGCCAGCATTCCAAGTTTGGGATTCACCGTAAGTAAAAACACATTATTTAATTTACTGCATGCACAATATAGCTGTCTCTTGCCTAACTCTCTGTAAAAAAAATGCAACTTGTTGTTTTTATGCCAAGCTAAGCGGCTGTTTTTGTCTGGCTTCAGATGTAGCAACAGACATGGGAGTGATATCCATTTTGTCATCTTACTCGATTAGAAGAGAGAGAATTTTTGACATACAGTATGTGTAGTTTTTGGACAAGCCGGGGATCATGTAGGTTTACATTACCAAAGATTTATGACAGAATCACTTGACAACACCGACTCCCGTGTGCGCACGGCGAGAGAGGAGAGGGAGAGACGCTGTGCTGTTGCCGGAGGAGCCGCTGAATGAGTTCCCTCTGAGCGATAAAAGAGTCTGAGAAGTCCAGGGCTGTTCATAAAACATTCAGGACGCCACAGTTTATTCCACACTACTGAAGATGCTCCTCTTTTTGGAACCTCTGCGGAATCAGTAATAATTTTGCTTTCAGCCATGCTTGTTGTTGCCGTGGGTAACAATATAATGTCAATATGTTAACAAGTCAAAATATCGCAAGTATCACGATATGAATTCATATGATATTTAAAATTATACCAGTATTATCGTGGACAAGATGATATAGCCAACCACCATCTACTGTAGGTAATACACTAAAAAACAATATATGGTGTCAGTAGATAATGTTTAAAATAAAGATGTCTTTCTTGCATAAAAAATTATGTCTATTTTATTAAAGTGTTTTAGTCAGTTGACAACTTATTTTAAGAAGTTGGTTAAAATCAAAAGCATTTTTAACATTTTTGAATAGTATGGAATAAAAATAAATAAGTTGGAATATCTTAAATAGAATAATTTCACCCCTAAATATCACCAAAACTTTTGGATAAATATTACGTTGGTTCAGCTTAATTATTTTGAGGTTGAACCAAATTATTTTAGTTAGTTGAGATTGATAAGATTCAATAATGCCAAAGTTGGAACTGCGTAAAAAGATGCATGTCAATTGCTATCTTATGTTTTTCTAAGTGGATTCTTTTCCAGAGTATGTGGACTAAGTACCTCACACAACCCACTTCAAAAGATCCAAACTATTGGGGCATTGGTAGCGTAGTGGATCGTGCCAGTGCCCCATGTACAGAGGCACCTGCCTCGCAGCAACGGCCGGGGGCTCAAATCCGGCCTGCGGCTCTCTGCTGCGTGTCACCCTCCACCTTTTCTCTCTCCCCATTTCACACACTGTCCTGTCAATTAGAGGCAAAAAGCCTATAAAAATAATCTTTAAAAGAAGATCCGAACTATCCCTTTAACGCACAGACATGAGAGTGCAATGCTAAACTGAGCACTCTTGTAATCAGCTCTGTGACTACAATAAAAAAAAATCTTTGGCAAATCAAACTGCATTGGGAACCGCTGAAAGTTTTACCCATGGCATCAAGACTTCTTTCAAACAACAGGTTCGGCGTCAAAATTACTTTTTGTGAAAGTCATTATCGCAGAGAGTGCCCGATTACGTGGCTTTCCGTATCACTCATATAATCAAGCTTCCATATCTCTCTATGATATTTCCATGCTGTATTAGTGCGATCAAAAGGAACCTAACTCAGTAGATGACATCGTCTCAGCCCAGAACCACAATCCGAAGACGTATATGCAAACTTGAATGAGCCATAATCAAAGGTTCTGCCAAATTATTGTTTCAAACCGCAGATGGTTCTGTCAGGCTCTCAGAAGGTACTGCTCAGGAGAGACTGGCTAATATAGGATTTCCACTGAGCTGTAACTTTGCACACAGGCAGCCGCTGTGTCAGCCAGGCTAAAGTGCCTTAATTACTGCATGAGAATGGCGGCAGAAACCTCCCTTGGCCACCGCCACGTGGTGAGGGCCATTAAAGAAGATGGATGGATGGATGGATGGATGGATGGAGGAACAGCTAGACGTGATATAGCTCCACTCGGACCCCACCCCCAAACACACACGCATCTACCCTTCTCACTCTCAAAGTGCCTAAGTGGGCCTGATTGCCTAAGTGGACCCTGCTCCCTCTTTCCTTCCCTCCATCGCTCCTGTGCTCTCTCTTTGTTGTTCCATTTTCTGCCGTGTTGGACTCTAGGGGTTCTGTGGTTTGCCTTGCTGAGTGGGGTTTTACAATTTGGACCCCACTTGTTTGGCTTTTAATACGCACTGTAGTCAGGGGTTGCTAACCATTCATGCTTCCTTCCCATTTTTTCTCCAGTTCAATGTGTCCTGATTGCCGCATGGTTGATGATGGTGATTATTAGAGCCTTGTCATCATCATCTGTCGCCATGGCACCAACAAACGTGTAGCCAAGTTGGTGGCGGAGAAGGCTGATTCCACGAACGGGAAAAAATGAGTTCTGAATTTTCTTTTGATGGCCGCTGCAATCACAAGTGGTTGGAGGCTGATTAGGTGTTACACATCGCTCAGTTTTGCTTGTTTGTATCCCTCCCCGTTTCATTAGGCTCATCAGTTTTGGGTACGGAGGATGACCTCGCCGTGTCACTTCGTTTCATGAACTTTGGGACCAGCCCGCCTTCCTCAGATGAAGACTCTGGTTTATCCAGCTTTGTAGAGAATCCACAGTACTTCTGCGGCATCATCAAGGAGAAAGACATGTGTGAGTGTTGATGCTGAACTCGTTTCCACTCCAATGACGGTTGTGATTAAATCCACACTCATGCTCATTCCCCAAGATTTAATGACATTTTGGTGTCTGGATTGTTTGTGTTATTATTCACACTTTATCATGTCAGGTGTTTTGGTCACTGTCTGTCTTTTCTTTAATGTCTGTAATATTTGTTTTTTGTCTGCCGATTACAAGAAGCACAAAGTGGTGAAATCTTATGCAAATACAATAAACTTTTGGTGCAAGCACGACATAATTTCACCCAGATTTTCAAACCTTTTCTGTGTTTCATGATCAGGTGTCCAGCACATTAAACGGCAGGACATTGTGTTAAAGTGGGAGCTGGGCGAAGGAGCGTTTGGCAAGGTTTACCTGGCAGAGTGTGCCAACCTGAGCCCTGACAGCGACAAGATGCTGGTCGCAATCAAGGTAAGTGAATTGACACAGAAACACAGCTTTTTTTCTATTGATCAGGAGTGGGGGGACAAATCGATACATAATCGTATGACAATATATTTGTGTGGCAATAATGCATCAATACAGGAATGCTAAATGTCTTTTTTTTTTAATTATATAAATGATTACAATTGCAAATACAATCACGTTTCCCTGCTTCCCTTCACTGGTTCCTGTGCAGCAGGGTTGGTCTTTGTTGCACTGTTATAGTCTTTAAAAAGCAAAAGCAGCATGTGTGTACATTCAGTAGGCTATATCTTCAGTAGCTAGCTAGCTAACCCTACACTTTTCAGGGTTTGATTTTGGTTTTGGAACAGGGAAGAAACGTATATCTTTTTCCAATCTCTCCAGGTAACGAGTATCATTAATACACGACGTGCACCAGGCACAACATTTAGCTCCAAATCCACAAAACCAGCCTGAAAATGAAGGAAATCTGAAACGAAGAAAGAAGTAAGAAGTAGACATGTAAAAAGGCAAATTTTGGTGTTGGATTGGTCACAAAACACAGGACTTTCCCTCAAGAGACCAGTGTGAGGAAGTGTGCGAAACCAAGTGAATTCTGAGTCATTTCAAGGTACATCTTCACCACTTTTCTTGAAGGGTCAATTTGCAGTTGAAAAACAGTAATAAATCCCAATTTATTGCAATATATGTTATCACAATACTCAGCATATTGCAAAAGGTTTAAAACCTTAATAATATTGCATCTTTATTCAAGTATCTTGATATTATCATATCATAGGGCCTCTGGTGATTCCCACCCCTACCATTAATGTGGTTTTACTCCCTCTAAACATAAAACAAAAGAGAAAAGCAGTAACTGTATTTTTTCTTTGGATTTTAAAATTGCTATATTTAAGTAGTTCAGCTTATTGCATGACATCCGCCATCGCTCTCCTCTCTTCCACTCAGCTCTCTACTGTCCACTGTCTAACAAAGGCAAAAGCACCCAAGAAATAAATATCAAAAAACAAAGCTAAAAGAATAATTCACCAGCGACCATTTGTATATCAATTACTCACTTTGTTTTACTTTGAATTCGTGAGGGAAACTTTGTTTTTCAGGCAGGCCTCCACAGAAGACGGAGAATCCAAAAAGGTGAACATTCCTCATGACTCAAAATCATGGGAGACCACGTTTAACAACAGCAAATCTATATCAAAATATCTGTTTACAATCTCTCACACAACTTGTGAAGTATAATCCAAGCCCTATTTATCCAGGCGTATGTTCAGTACTTCCCAAACACATGCATTTTAGCAAAAACATTACAGTATAAAACACTTTCACCTATGAGTAGCACAACCTGAGCATGCCTAGCAGAGTTCACATGCACTTGTGCCAGGCACGCTATTTAGCCGTGCATGAGACTGTTTGTACTGACATGTTTTTAATTGTCATGTTGTAGCGTTAGGGAAGCAGTGAACGTACAACCAACTGGATAAATGAGACTTGGATTTTACTGCGGGAGTTGTGTGAGAGTTGTGTAAAGGGATGTCTTTAAAATAGTTTTGCTGTTGTAACTTCAATTTAAGTAAAAGGTTCGCCTTTTTTGGATTCTCTGTTCACCTTGGAGGCATGAGAGGAAAACAGTTTTCTTCACAAATTCAAGGTAACACGTGGTGAGTACTTGATGCACCATTTTGAAGGTAAAGTATTCCTTTAAGTACTCGCAAAAAGCTACTTGATACCACACCAACAAGAGCAACAGTAAATACACTGCACTTATACTTTAATCCTCCATACACTGAAATAACATCCTGTGGTTTCAGAGTGAGATGTATTGTTGAGGACGGTCGGGTGGTTTAATACACGGCTCATGTTACAACAGGTTAATGCAAACCACAGCGACTAAAAACAGGACGATGAATTTGGCTCTGCTCGGATTTATCTCCCCATTAATCAGACTTGTGCTTTTATTGCAACACATCATCACTCACAAGCAGGGGCGTAGCCAGGAGTTCAGCGCCAAATGAAAAACTCCTCATTAACACACACAGTCCTCTACAACAGCATTGTCACATACTTTTCTATCACACAATTTATTGCACTCTTCACTGTTGCTGGCTTTTTTTAAAAACACTTTTTACTTTTAAATTAAGCTTATTAATTAGCATCTTCATGTCAATTCCTTGCTTATGTGGTCACAGACTCTAAAGGACGCCAATGAGTCGACCCGGCAGGACTTCCAGAGGGAGGCGGAGCTGCTGACGGTGCTTCAACACCAGCACATTGTGCGATTCTACGGCGTCTGTACAGACGGAGAGCCGCTGGCCATGGTGTTTGAATACATGAGGCACGGAGACCTCAACCGATTTCTCAGGTACGTAGCAGCCCTGCTCATAATGCTCTGAGGAGAGTGCCATTCACACAACTGTCCATCCCTGCTGATCAAAGTGTTGATATCATAAGGGAGCATATTAGAAACTGAACCACATGTTGGAGGTGAGCCAGCAGCGAAATGGGAAAAGGAACCATCATTAATATTATTTACACTGGAGCTGAGACAAGAAATCAGTTGACAGAAATTTATCCAGAATTTAAGAAAGAAAATACAAAGAATCTAGTTTTCAAATGAGAATATTTGATATTTTTCTGAATCTTGTATGATATTAAACTGAATATTCTTAGCTTTGAAACTGTGGGTCGGACAAAACAAGCAATTTAAATATCTTTATTTTGGCTTCACGACATTGTGGATCAATCTTTTCTGTCATTTCACAGACCAAACAATTTGTCAATAATCGGGAGAATATTAGGAAAGGAACAGTTTAAAGGAACAGTTCACCCCAAACCCCCCACCCTGAGTTCAAACCAGGAACCCCCTTGTTGTTGTTAGGTGACAATGCTATCCACTGTGCCACCATCCCAGGGTGGGGGAGCCCCTCTGTGAGTAGCTTATGTTCTCCCCATGTCAGCGTGGGTTTTCTCCAGGTACTCCAGCTTCCTCCCACAGTCCAAAGACATGCAGGTTAATTGGTGACTCTAAATTGTCCGTAGGTGTGAATGTGAGTGTGAATGGTTGTCTGTCACTATGTGTCAGCCCTGTGATAGTCTGGTGACCTGTCCAGGGTGTACCCCACCTCTTGCCCAATGTCAGCTGGGATAGGCTCCACTAGATGGAACTTGGCTTGTGGTGCTCAAAGTGCCAAAAAATACATTTGAAAAACTGAACATCAATGTCTCTTTGCAGAAATTATGAGACCCGGTTACTCAAGATAATCCACAGACCTTGTAGTGAGCAGTTTCAAGTAGGAACTACTTTCTTTCGACTGAGCTACACCCTCAAACCATATTACTGTGCAAAAGGAAGGGTGCATACACCTATGGATTGGGCTCATGCTCAGAAAGTGCAAAGTGTAAACATTAATGGCGCCCTTCCTAGCTAAGCTGTAACGTTAGCTAGCTCAGCGGTGCTAGGTAAGCTAGCAGTAGATGCACAGTTCCTCTTGCACAGTAATATGGTTGACGGGATAATGCAGTGAAAGAAAAAAGTTCCTATATAAAAGTGAGTAACCAGGTTATGATTTCTGGAAAGAGACGTTGCTGTTGAGTTTTTCCAGATGTATTTTTCAGCACCACCATCTGCTTCCATTCAACACGTTCTCATCCCAAGTCATCACATATCGCCGCTTTGTCAGTCACCTTTCATGTCTACATATGACACGCTAGGTATCCTCCTGTGTCTGATGTTGATGTTCAAATATTTAGCAACCAACGCAAGGACGTCAGCACAAGCACATGGTTAGGTTTAGAAAAAAAAAAAATCATGGTTTGGCTCTATAGTCATACGGGAAGTGAACACTAGGCTCCCGGGTGAAAGTCCAGGGTTTGATGGACAAATCTGCCCTACAGGGAACTTTCGGCTCCTAGATCATGTCATTACCAACAGCATTTTAACCTGAGACCATCCAGTGACATATACTGCTGCGACAAGTACTGTCTGTCCAATCACTGACAAAGAGGCGGTTTTTCATGACTTCGGAATGAGAACAGGCTATTTCCTTAAACTGGAGAGAAGACAGACATCTTCACGGCTGATATCTCTGCAACTCACACCGAACCAATTTAGACTGATACATAGCACTACAGGTGAAATAAAAAAATTGTAAAATATATATTTTTGATTTTGGGGTGAACTGTCCCTTTAATTTAGATTACTAGCTAATAAACATAACCATTAGTGATAACTCTAGTTTACAACCTTTGATTTTCCTACTGTGACATATCTAAATGTGAACAAGGTCTTTGTCCATGTGGATGTCTTTAATACTTCACGAACTGTTGACCTCTGACACACTGATAAGTGACTCCCGTTCTTTAGAGACACTGTGAGCCGCATTGCAGCCACAGTATCGGTCAGACCTGATGTGAGGTTAAACTCACTCAGCTGACCTCAGTACAACGTGTGGTTGTGTGGATTCTATGTGATGTAATAGAAATGCATCGAAGACGGTTGTGGAAGTGTTTACTGTACAGACTAATATTTTATTGCTGCTGCTTTTTTTTCCGTCTCTGCACTTTAAGGTCCCTAAAGTCCTTTTCAGAAGGAGCGTAGATTATCTGGGGACTGTAGAGAGTCCTGTAAATTTCTTCACAAATCAAGATTTGAGGATAAATTGCTCACTGTCTTTTGCTAAAGTGGCTCAAACATGTTTTAATATAAGCAATGATTTGTTTTTACTTCATAATTTCTCCTCCTTTTTCCCTCACTGACAGTTTATATCACTGGACTGTCAGAAAATGGAGGCACCAGTGAGTTGAATAGATGGAGTTTGCTTTGTTAAATTAGAAATGAGAAAACTCTTGCTGCATCCATGGAAGGACTCTCGTTCGTGTCAAGGCACGGGGCAAATATCTTAGTTACAAGCTGTCCTCACATGATAATAGCAAATATTGTGGATTGCAGGATTTGATTTGAATATTGATGGATGCAGTAAACAATCAGATGCATTACCAAAGCTGACGTAGGCAAGTTGCCTTGAATTGTTCACTGAACTCATCTCAGGAGGAGCTGAGCTGTTTGTATGGAGGCCTATTTCTGCCAGTGTGATGAGAAAATAATCCTGTTAATCATTGTAGTGACAAACTTTCTTGAAATATTGACTAAATGTCTCAAAATAATGATGTATCCTCATACAACGGTTCGTATGGTACCTAACAAATTAGCGCCCTTTGAATGACGTCACATACATAACATAAAATTACATGTTTAATATAATGTTACGTAGGTTAGGCTTAGACAAGTAAAGTTATTTTGGTTCGGTTAAGGAGAAGAAACATGGTGAGGATGCACCTTAAAATATCTATAAAGATTCACACACTTCCCAACACTGGTCTCTTGGGGGAAAGTCCTGTGTTTTGTGACCAATCCAACACCAAAATTTGCCTTTTTGCACGTCTACTTCTTACTTTACTCTTGTCAGTGTATTAGTCAAGTGAGTGCAACCTTTCCAACTGACCCTTTGCTAAGTCCCACCCCCAGATGCAGACTGGCCAATCATAACGTAGCATGGGGCCGGCCCTGACCAGGGTC